AGAAGTGATTGCTCTAAGCTCAAAAGTGCCCCCAAATGCTCTTCCATTTTTCTCCCCCACTCATAGGAATAAGTGTGGACTTAATTATCTTTAGGAAGACAGGTGACGGTTATTTTCAGACTTGAAAGAGTAGCCCATGTTCTCAGTTTGTCTGGCATCTCCTGAGACCTTCCAAGGGGATTCAGATCCTGGGCACAGATGTTTTGGGGGTGGGGTGAGGTGGGAAAGTGTATAGCCAGGGAGTACTTCTCCATCCGTCTGACCAAGAGAAGTAGCATCAAGTGGTGGAGCAAGTCCGTATTCTGGAGTCAGAAGGGTCTGGTTCTGAATTTGTTTGTCACCAACCAGATGTGCAACTTTGGGCAAATGACTTACTCCCCTAAGCACTGTTTCCCCAGCTCTTATAGCCATCTTGCAGGATTGCAGGGAGGAGTAGGTATGTGGAATACATGGGTTCTGGCACAGAGTAGTGTCTTGTTAAAGAAAAGCTATTATTATTAAGGCTCCCAGAACTAAGAATACGGCTTGTCTGTTCATGTCCTTGGCCTGAGGTTGGTGTCCTTATGAGGTGTGGAGGCCTTGGTCCCTGTCACAGTTCTCTTTCCTAATAGAAGACAGCTGCAAAGGGTGTAGATTAGAAATCTCTGTCCGAGGCCCTTTGGAAGAAACAGAGCCGCCTGCAGGGCAATCAAGTTCCAGCCTCTTCCAGGTGGCCAATGCTCAGGGATAGGCTGGTTGCATCTCCCTTCCTCCCCACCCAGGACTAATTTATCCACGTGATAACTTCCAATCTTAGCACAGTGCAGGGCATAGAGCAGTCACTCATGACATGAATGTTTAATGGATGAATCAATTCCTTAGAACCATGGCATCTCCTCCTTTTGCTCAGAATGTTCTGTTGTGGGTTGAATTTTATCCCCCACAAATTCATATATTGAATCCCTAACTCCCATTACCTCAGAATATGACCTTATTTGCAGATAGGGTCCTTAGAGAGATAATCAAGTTAAAATGAGGTCATTAGTGTGGGCCCTAATCAAATATGACTGGCATTCTTATTTAAAAAGAATTAACTGGAGACAGACATGCACACAGGGAGAACACCATGTGGACACAAAGGCTTAGACTGGGGAGTTGCTTCCACAAGCCAAGGAACGCCAAAGATCGCCCCAAACCACCAGAAGCCAAGAGAAAGGCATGGAACAGATTCTCCTCACAGCCCTCAGAATGAACCAACCCTCTGATACCTGGATGTTAGACTTCTGGCCCTCAGAACTGTGAGAAAGTAAGTTTCTGTTGTTTAAGCCCCCCGTGGTGCTTTGTAACTGCAACCCTAGCAGACCAATACACTCACTTTGAGTGGAGACCTCTTTCACGCGAGCTCCAAAGCCCCTTGGTCCTTTCTAAATTTCTTTTCCCAAGAACATGTTCGATCTCTTTCCCCTTTCTGCTGGATGCTGCCCACTCACAGTTTCTTGGGAAATGTTTTCTCTGGGTTTTCCTTTCTCTTTAGGGGATGGCTCCTAACATCCCCCACTTTGATGTCGCAGCAGGTCCTGAAGCACATGCTGGGAAGGACAGAAACATGGCTTCCTGGCCTCTCACAGGCTTTCCAAACCTCTGCACGTTGTCTCCTGGACTGGGGGTTGAACAGGTGACAAGTGCACAGACACCCGGGATGACAGCTGGAATGGGAGCAGCCTGGGATGCCTCCCACAGGGGACAGCGTCATTATCACACCAAGGGCTGGCTGAGAAGCAGCAGACGGTGAATCCTGAGGGGGTCCTAACCTGAAGATGATGCAAACTGGGAAATTCAATCTGCTGTAAGACTTGTCCTACATGGAGCTGCCATAAGAGATGGGTCTCTAGGGGAGGAATTGGTTGCTATGGAGACAGTTGGGTTAGCAGGGGTTAAGAAAGAACACAGCTGTTCATCCAACTGAGCTTGAGCTCACTCCTTTTCCTAAAGTAGAATTCCTTTGAGGTCATCTCATTGATTTCCCTGCCCCTGGGCAGGACAGCACCATTCCAGTCCCTACTGGTTTCCAGCACTGGACATTCTGCTGCTCCCAGTAGCTGTCATGGGCCATCAGAGAATCCTTCTCTTCTCCCTCAGGAAAGATCTTTGTAGTCAATGGCTTCTGTTTGCACGTGGGCATGCATTGAGGGGGCTACACATTTTGCAGATAAGGAAGGGCCAGAGACAAGAGGGAGGTATGTATAAAAGGGCACAGAGCTCACAGAATTCCCTGTCCCCGGGCAGGACAGCACCATTCCAGAAAAATAAGATCTATGCCAACATCAAGGAATTAACTAAGAAAACTGAGGTAAAGAAAATGAGTTGATTCTTCTTAAAAGTTACTTTTAACAAATTATACATTTTTGGTAACAAATGCCATAGAAATGAGGTTGTCTTCTTCTCAGCACATCCCACGGAGAGGTGCCTGAGGTTGATTCTTCCCGTAACTGGTGGTTAACTTTGATCACTCGGTTAAGGAACCTTAACCCTTTAACCACTGTCTACCAGGTTTCTTCACTGTAAAGGGTATATGAAAGTATACTGAACTAGTTTTCTTGTTGTAATTAATACATATCTTGTGGGGAGATAGCTTGAGGCTATATAAATATCCTATTTCTCATCATACTTTCACTTGCTAATTTTAGCATTCATTGGCCATTCTTGCCTGAAACAATTATTACTGTGAATTTCGCCAAATGGTGATTTTCTATTTCCCTAAGTCCTTCTACACTTATGAGTTGGAGTTCTAGTATAAAGAGGAGCTTCCTCTCTCCCACATTAGTTATTAATTTATTATATCAATAAGGACCATAGATTCTTATATTATTCTCTTGAGTATAGTCCATTAGTATTATAATTTATTTTCTTGCTTACATTGCCCCAGAGTTGGCCACTAGGGCCAAATCAAGTTGGCTCCTGTGTCCTTTGGACATGCACCCTACAGTTTTTCTGGTGTTCCTTGACAAAACTATATAACCTGAATTTAATCATGAGGAAACATCAGACAAATCCCAGCTGAGGGACGTTCTACAAAGTAAGGGTCCCGTGCTCTTCCACAGTATCAAGGTCATGAAAGACAAAGACTGAGGATTACAGCACTGCGCAGCCATGACAATGGAATGCCACATGTGATCCTGGATTGGAGCCTGGACCAGAAAAAGGACATCAGTGAGACGACTGGCAAATGTGAATAAGACATGTATATTAGATGGCTTTATTCTATCACTGTTAATTTCCTGATTTTGATCATTGTACTGTGGTTATGTAAGATGTTAATTTTGGAGAATCTGGGTGAAGGGTATATGAAAGTTCTTTGTACTATTTTTGTACCTTTTTATAAGTCTGAAATTATTTCAAACGTGAAAAGTTAAAAAAGTGAAAAATGACTTTTATAAGGAGAGGAGGATAGATTGGGGGTGGGAGGTGCAGGATGAAAGTGAATAAAACATTCCAGCCCTGTCTCCTCCAGCTCACACGTGCTGTCCAGAATGCTGTCCCCCAAGTGTCTGGAGACACGGTGTGGGTCTGTCTCTCTCCCAAGATACTCTTTCTTTTTCCACAGCCTCTACTTGAAAAACACCAAGAGGAGACCCAACTGCTCAGGGCCTCCAACTCCTGCTGCTATGTTCCCTGGGAAAATCAATTACAGCCTAATTACCTCAGGGGGTTAATTAGCATCGTGTAGCCTGGGTGTCCTCTGCGAACAGAGCAGCCTGTCAGTCCTCGGTCAGTGAGCAGGGGTGGCAGAGGCAGAGGTTTCTCAGGGAGAAGGCTGCCTCCTGGCTGGGCTGGGGCCCCTGCCAGTCAGAGAGGAGACAGGGCTGGGGCAGCAGCCGGTTGTTGGAAGTGAGAGGGGCTGATGGAAGCAAGTCCTTGCCTAAGCTCCCCTGTACCAGAGGTGCAGAGGCAGCAGCAAGAAGAATTACAGAACAGAGCAAGTTCTCAAGGCAGCCGTTGCTGGAAATCACTAGAATCAGGGAGAAGGCATGGAGCCCTGAGCTGCTCAGGGAGCTAGCTGTCTGAGGGCAGGGAAAGGGACAGTGCATCTGCTCAGGGAAGAGGTAGAAAAGGAGCAGCCCCTTCTGCTTTTTTTTATAATTTTTTGGCCAAACTGCATGGCTTGTGGGATCTTAGTTCCCTGACTAGGGATCGAACCAGTGAAAGCCCGAGTCTTAACCACTGAACCACCAGGGAATTACCCCCTCCTACTTTCTTAAACATGCAAATCACAGTGGTACTTGCCCTGGCCGATATTCCTAGTCACCATAAGGAACATGCAAGTAGTTTCAAAGCACAAGTGACAGTCGGTGAATAGGGAGCAGCAGAGAGTGATGAGCACATATTGCAACCCAAGTTAAATACAACTATTCCTCTCCCCGGCCATTCAAACTCCAAGCAGCTGCATGTTCATTCACATTACCTATTCATCTTCCTTTGCAATTGACTATTCAGGAAACATCATTTTTTCCAGGGTAGCTAATTACCTATTTCTTTCCATTAAAATGCACAAACAAATTGGGACCCAGGGTAAACCCGGGGAAATGGCACGGTGGCTAATGCAGTGCCTGCTTTCACTTTCTTCCTCCGTTTTCAGCTTTGCAACTCTGAGCTAACTGCAGCTCCTGAAAGCGCATTTCTGCTGAGAAAAGCTAAACCTGTTTTCTGAAACGTTCACCCGCCGTGCAGCTGATTTCTCGTCCCCACCTGGCTCAGCCAGCCTGGCAGGGAGGCTGCACTGGCTGTGCCTCCTCGGTGCCCACCGACGGGCACGCACATTCGTGCACGGGCGTGAGGACACACTTCCATACGCTTGGCATTTACGCCTGGACACAGGCCATTGAGACACCCGTGAGAGGCTTTACACACCCTCACATTAAACTCACTCTATGCCAAGAATTCTTCCGTAAAGGCTCAACTCCCACTGCCCTGGGGTCAGCTCCCAGCCATCCCATCCCACTCTGGGAAACTGGGGGACTCACCTCGGTGATTTGGGGGTTGGAGCACTTAACATTGTGGCTGGACCAGTCAAGCCAGGGGCTGGAGGGGCTGCTACAGTGCTGCTGGAGGGTGCACCTGCGCTCACCGCTGCACCAGCCACACTCGAACTTCCGGTCGGCCTTGAGGCAGAGGCCACAGCTCTCCCGCTGGGCTGCACACTTGTAGAGGTGGACTGCAAAGAGAGGAGGGGCAGTCACAGATGGGGTTGGAGAGGACGCCTCACAATTTACCCCCTTCTTGCAGGCGTGATAGAAACCGCCCCCCATCCATGGATAACACCCATGATCATCATTATCCCTGCAAGAATAATTGATGGGGAATTAATAATAAATTGAGCCTCTTAGCAGTCGTTTAAAGGCACTACAAGAAAATATTATTTAAGAGTTCTGGCTCTAGATTAAATTGGATCAGGGCTTTAATTGTGGCTTCACCACTTCCTAGCAATGTGACAAAGAATTTAACTTCTTTCAACGTTCAGTACCTACTCTATAACATGGTGATAATCATTGTTTTTTGTGAGGTTTGAATGAGATGTTGTATATTCAGTGCTTAGCACAGTGCCTGTAACATAGCTGATGTTCTGTACATGCTTATTATCTTTTCTTTGAACTCAAACTACATTCTTACGCTGCTGCTTCTCTTTCTGCCACATACGGCCCTCGCTGAAAGAGGTAAGGACTGATTTCCCCATTTCAGGCAAAAAAGAAGCTCAAAGAGAGATGTAATGACTCTTGGAGTTTACTAAGGTTAGTGCCCCAAGCTGGGATTCTGCAGATCCAACTCGCTGTGCCGCTAGCACGCAGGTCCTGAGAGGAGAGAGGCACACAGGGGGACTGGGTGGGTCTGGGAGAGGCATCAGCTGGGGCTTCAAGAAAGGCCACATGCCTGGCAGAGTGGAGGCAGAGCTGATAAGGAACGATGGTTGATGCCACCCTGTTCATGGCCCTGTGGATGGAGCGGATATCCCCAGAGAGGGCAAACTGGCTACTTAACAGGTCACTTTTGGAGTCTGCAAATGCTTTTGCTTTTGTCTCCTACCCACTTAGAAGCCCTAGACAGGCCAGTCGGCAGAACCGTTTTGTGAGCCCGAGGCTTGGTAGTTGTCTGCTGGAGTTTTGAATTCAGAGTCCCAAGTAGAAGTCTTCAGAAGCAGAATACTTAGAAAGTCATTTTTCAACTCTTCTGGTCAAGCAGACGTAAGCTCTCAGGCCTGGGCGGCATGCCTCTGGAGCTCAGGTACATGCCCCAGGGTAGAGGTATTTTTTTATTCTTCCATGCGTCCCCATTCTGCTCCTCTGCTCTGCCAAACATTCCTCAGTCTCAGCTGCAGGGGCTATACTGAAACATCCTCATGCCTACGGCTTCTTATGGTAGAGGGCAGGAAATGGGAATCTTAAAATGAACAAATCCACATGATGCATTTATTAATATGCAAATGGTCCACATCTAATTTCTCATTTGATCCTCATGGTGACCCTGAGAGGTGGGCATCTTTTCCCCCATTTCCCAGATAATGAACTTGGGAAATTGAGAGGAACAGTAATAAGTCTGAGTTCACATAGCTATTGGTGAAAGAGCCAGGATTCGAATCCCAGTTTGTTGGATTCTAGAATCCGCGTCCTTAAGCACTGTGGCCTCCTCCACCCAACACGGTGCCTAATCTCCAGGAACAGCTGGGATCTGGGTGGGAGGTGAATGTGAGATCGCCATGGCCTGTGCATTCAAGGAGCTGCTTAAAAGTTGTCAGGCGCCACAAGGGAGGGTTCCGATGCCACAGCTCGGATGTGGCTGTTTTTTCTCTAAGCTCCAGGTGCAAAGGCAACCTCTGGGAACTAAGCCCAGATCCTCAGCAGGGGAAATGTCTATCTCTTAGCACTGAGAAAATTTGGCCTGGGTACGAGGGGAAATAGAAAAAATCTCCCAGCCTAAGTAGCACTGATTTTCACGGCAGCATCCGGGACAGGGACCGTAGCATCTGGAAGAGATGCTGAAGCGCTTTCAGGTCCTCCTGTGGCCTCAGTCCCTCTTTCTGTGCCCATGGGGTGACCCTCGGGCTGAAGGACAGGCTTGTGACAACCCTAGCTACTTGAAATGTGGTGGAATGTGGCTCATGGTGGGGGGCGGTGATAGGGTTCTACGGGAAGGAGGTTTCACATCCCACAATAGCTGGAGCCACTGGGAGGGAGGACAGTGATGTGGTTAAGCATGTGAACTCCAGAATTAGACTGTTTTGGTTCAAATCCTGGCTCTTACTATTTGACTCTTGGTTCATTTTTTTTCAACTTCATTGAGATGCAACTGACAAAAAAATTGTACAATATTTGAAGTGTATACTGTGATGATTTGACATACATACAAAGAGTGAAAAGATTCCTCCCATCTAGTTAATTAACACATCCATCACCCCCATATCTACATCTATATGTGTGTGTGTATGTCTATATATGTATATATATAAACATATATATGTGTTAAGAACATTTAAGTTCTACTCTCTTAGCAAATTTCAATTATGTAATACAGTGTTACCAACTAGAGCCACCATGTTATACATTAGATCCTCAGACCTTATTCATCTTATAGCTGGAAGTTTGTATGCTGTTACCAACCTCTCCCTATTTCTCCAACCCCCTCAAACCCCTGGCAACCACTCTTCTACCCTGGTTCTGTGAGTTGGACATTTTTTTTCAGGTTCCACATATAAGTTATACTGCACAGTCTTTGTCTTAAAAACATGGAATGCTTTGTGAGTTTGCAGCATCTTTGTGCAGAGGTCATGACCTCTGCATCGTTCCAATTTTAGTGTATATGTTGCCAAAGTGAACAGTCTTGGTACATCTCTTAACTTCTTTGCGTCTCAGTTGCCTTATCTATAAAATGAGGATAATACTGGTACATACCCTTCAGAGTTGTTGTGATGATTAGGAAAATAATCTCAAATAAACCACTTAGTGAGTGCCTAGCCAGAGTGCTCATCAAACTGGAGTCACTTTTGTCATTCTTGAGATCTGGGAGGAATGCTGCACTGGGGGCAGCCTGCCTGCACCCAGGAGGACCTCCACATGGGTGTGTAGGACACGAATGAGGTGGCCTCATGGAACACCCCCTCCTGCATCAGCCCAGCTCCTTCCTGAGCTTCCTTGCAACAGCTGTGCCCTCAAGTCAGCAAGCTGGTCCCTCCCGTCCACCTCAGGACGAGGGGAGCCGCCTTTCAAACCTCCCTTGTGCAGTGACTGGGGCCAAGGACAGGGGAACCAGAACCTGATTGGAAATAATATCTCCATTTCCAGGGAAACTGGCAGGACATTCCTGCCTGCTGCTCTCCTGGTCCGGTTCCACAGACACTTCAAAGTCTCCGGGAGCCGAAGGAAAACGTGATGAACCGGCAGCCACCCAGCGGATGCTCTGGTTGTAATAAAACAGGTTCCCAACAGGACTGCTTTGATGGCGCCAAATGTTGCTTTAGGATCCTCTGAAGAATTACGCTGACAGAGGCAGTGTATTATTCACGGCACAGCAGCTGGCCGGCTCTGATCCTTCCAGCCCCAGTTTTTCCCAGGGTCACGGAAAGATCAAAACTCTACCTGGGGGCTTCCCTGGTGGCGCAGTGGTTGAGAGTCCGCCTGCCGATGCAGGGGACGCGGGTTCGTGCCCCGGTCCGGGAAGATTCCACGTGCCGCGGAGCAACTGGGCCCGTGAGCCATGGCCGCTGAGCCTGCGCGTCTGGAGCCTGTGCTCCGCAACGGGAGAGGCCACAACAGTGAGAGGCCCGCGTACCGCAAAAAAACCCCAAAACTCTACCTGGAAGTAGCTGCTTACCTTTCAGGTCCTGAGGGTTGTCAATGATGAAATTGCCGTTCCACACCACGGCAAAGTCCACGGCCAGGTTGCTCATGTCCATCCCGTCGTACTGGTACTGTGGGGAGAGGGGCAGAGGTACACGCTCATGAGGCTTTCTATCACGGGGGGGCGGGGAAGCTGCTGCTATCTCAGGGGACCAGGAAAGAAACCAGGGGCTCTGGTTCCCTCTGGGCTGAGAGAGGACCAGAGGGAGAAACAGGAACCCCGTGCACCGTTCACATTATCCCTATGGTGTCTTCCCCCCGACTGCTAGTCACTAATGCCCACAGGATCCAGCTCAAACCCCTTAGTTGGCATTCAATACCCCCTATAATCCCATCCAAACTTAGTTCTCCAACCTTCTCTTCCACTTCTCCTCCAGAATCTTTGAAGCACCTGTCTCCAAGCACACCCACCCAAGCCCCTCTCTGTATGTGTTCAGTTCACGTCTCCTAAGAATTCTTCCCTCCCCCGACAGCCTCCACCCTTCACCACCTTTACTCTCCTAGTCTAGCTCAGACTCACCTTCCCCAGGTGTCTTCTCTGCCATTCCTCCCAGCCCTCCCCAACCTCTCCATCCCCTGGTGTTTCTGTCTTTAACCAGGCACTTCCCGGGAGCTGCTTTGCATTTTTTCACGCGGAAGTCTAGTCTCTTTAGAAAGTCCACATGCCGCTCTGTAAATCCCAGAGCCCTGAGCACAGCATGTGTGTAACACAGCGGTGCCTCGGTTGGTTGGCCAGGCCCTGTGGTGGCCCTTTCTTTCTGCACGTGAGCTTTACTTTGGTCAACAGTTCACTAGGGAAAGTGCCCAGAGCTTTCTGGGCACAGATCTGATCAGCTCTGCCATTTAAGGCCCCCAAGCTGTAGCTGGGAGTGGACTTTCTCCCATGCTGATCCCACCGAGGACTCTCAAGCCCTCAGACACATCAGAAACAGCCCCACTGGTGGCCCAGCCCCTGAGCCTCTGTGGGAATCCCCTCTGTGGGGACTGCCCAGCCCGGCCACTTAGCTCCCAGGGCCCGTCACTCCGGCCCTTCCTGCCACCTTCCTCCCTTTGTTGTGCTCCATTGCTTTCTCATCTCCCACCCTCCCCGGGTGCTTGGCGGCCTTCTACCGATTACAAATTTCATCAAGTGCCCATGACCGGGAATCTGACAGCTCCCTGATAAGAGGCCCAGATTCTCTTTATCTCTCCCGGGCGAATTACCTTCCCTCAGCACCTCTGTCACCTTTGTCACATCCCCCCCATCTCCCAGCTGACCCCCCAGGGAGACAGGGAGTTAGCAGATGAAAAGATCTTCTCTGGGCTAGTAGTATAATTAAACACCTCGTGCTTTCTGTCTGGCATTCGGGATTGGTTTAACCCTTGCTGCTCTTGGAGTTCACGGCTTCCTCCTCCTCCCTTCCCCCCTCCCCTCATGCCACTCTACTTCCACTTGCACTGATCTCTTCTGCAGCTCTCCTCCCGCGTGGTGCCCTGCCCTCCAGCGGATCCACTCCCTGAATGCGGACAGGGTTTGGGGTCAAGTTGACTGGCGTTGGCTGAAGTTTCACCAAAGGCCAAGAAGTATTCTTTCAACTCAGAAAGGGCACAAAGCTATCAGCTTATGCCAGGAGACTCCTTTGTCCCTGGAGACGTGGGTCAGCCTGTGGACCCGGAGGGTTCTGGAAGCCGGGGCAGGTCAGGATGAGGCCGTGGCTCAGGTGTGAGAGAAAGCCCTGCCCTGGTGCTCTTACCGAGCTGTTCTGGCACTGGACGCTGGAGCTGTTGAAGCGCAGGGCGGGGACCCGGTGGACGGCTCCCTGTATGTTGAGGACGCACTCATAGCCTCGCTGGCCGGACTGAGGCTGGGGCAGGTTTCGAGCCTTGAGGGTGATTGGTTTTACTTCCCCGACGGGTATCAGGATCTCCTCCGTGGGCACCAGCTGGGGACAGTCCTGGGGAACAAGCAGAGAGCCTCTGTCTGGTCTGTCCTGGCTCATACCTCCCTGCTCCCCAAGCCCGGGTGGTGGACAGCCCTTCCATGCCAGGCCATAGCCTCTTGCATCCAGGCGGGCTGCCCACAAGGATGTACCTCATTTAAGGGGCACATGGAGTCAGCAGGGAATATGAAATCTATTTCTTAGCTCCCGGGCCTCGATATCATCATCCCCGTCCCACAAGTTGTCCTGTATCTGCTGTGTGTGTTACAATTTAGGAATTAATTTTCAAGCCCCGCGTGGCAGGTTGTGGATTTTATCTCCTGAGACACAGGATAAAAGATGCTCCACGCGTCCCTGTCCCCAGCCTGGACACCCCGCCTCTGGGTTTCATCTGTCCCCCAGCTCCTCTTGCACTGTCCGTGCCCAAGGTGACCTGTTATCGGCAGCCTCAGCTTCCCAGCGCCGATTGAGTGGCCTTTCCAGGAGGTGGCTCAAGCCCTCCCAGCAACGCTCTAAACACTCGCTCTGGCTTTTTATCTCACTTCATTACCAAGCCTTGCATGAAGACCATATCGCTTTGGGAAACAAAACAGAAAAAATAAACTCTTGCTGTGGAGGCGTTGTGGGAAGGACCATGAGAGAGGGAGGAAGCGAGGAGGACAGTGGTGTTCCTTAGTTCTTCTTCTAGAGGCTGCTTCTCCACCAGAGGTCAAATGACCACCTTTTGACAATTTCCACCCCCTGCCCATTTTCTCCCTCTCCAGGAAGACATTGCCCAGTGGCCTCTGGCAATGAGAACACACAGCCTCCTCCATGTGCAATCATTTCCCGTCTCCGGGGATCAACTGGGCAACGTCTTGAAGGCACCCCTTTCCCTGTGCCCTTCCCCTCCATGGTGGTGGCAGTTCTCAGAGGGAGCCTTTGGGAAGGTGTGTGTGTGTGGGTGGGTGTTGGTACGTTGCTACCCTGCAGAGGGCGCTACTGGCATTTACTGCCGGGTGTGGGGCAGGATGCTGAACTTCCTCAAGGTGTGGGACAGTCTGGAACAATAAATGGTCCCTCTCCCAATGCCAGAGGCATCCCTGGTAAGAAGCCACAGGAATGTGAAACAATGGACTGCCTTAGCCGTGGGCTTCTCGCTCAGTGTGGGCTTAGGCAGGGGCCGCAGGAGCAAGCCCTTCCCTTCATGATTTGGCCCCTGCCTCCTTCTTACCCTGTGATTCTTGGGCATCGTGGTCCAGCCATACCACGGAGGAATTTAAGGTTAGTCCTGAGGGACCATCTCTCTCACTTATCAACCTCTGATCCTTTGAAGATGCTTTTCTCTCCACCAGAAACACTCCCCTTCCACCCCCCGAATCTTCCTCCTGGCCCCTGACTCAGCCCTCTTTAGCTGATTACCTCTTTATTATTTTTTTTTTCTTTTGCGCAGGCCTCTCACTGTTGTGGCCCCTCCCGTTGCGGAGCACAGGCTCCAGACGCGCAGGCTCAGCGGCCATGGCTCATGGGCCCAGCCGCTCCGCGGCATGTGGGATCTTCCCGGATCGGGGCACGAACCCGCGTCCCCTGCATCGGCAGGTGGACTCCCAACCACTGCGCCACCAGGGAAGCCCTGATTACCTCTTAATTAGCCTTCAAACTCAACGCTGCAGCTCCTTCTTTGTAAAGCCATCCCTGACCCTTTCCCTGCACTGGCCCTCAGGATGGGTTACGGATACTCTCCCTGATCGCATTTAGCCCTCAGAATTGCAGTTTCTCATTGACTTGTCTTCCTTATTGGTCTGTGAGCCTTGAGGATTAGGCTGCATCTTATTTGCCTCCGTATCCCCAGGCTTTATCCAAATTCCTGACATGTAGTCGTTGCTCGTGGGAGGGTAAATGGAAAATAAGAAAATAAAGCAACAGACAAAACGATCTCAAACTTTCTATTTGGCTCCAACTTCCTAGATTTTTTAGAGATGAGGTAAAGTCCTGCCTTCTGAACATCTAGAGACTTGAGCAGGAGTTTGATTCCCGAAGCTGGGCTTGGAAATGGTCATTGTTTCTGGAGTCACAGAATTACTAAATTGGAACATCTATATCTATTAAGGAATCCTGAGGATTGATGAAAAGCTGGGTCCAGGAGAAATTTCCCACAGAAACCTACTCCCACAGAAACCTATCTAGGAGGGTCAGGCGGAACCTCACGGGTCACAGTGCCATCCCTCAGTGACTGCATGTGAGGATATCAAGCAGGCGAGTTTTCCACAGGAGACAGGAGCATAAGGCAACCCCAGAACAGATGGGTCCCTGTTTAGAAATCAGTCACTCAAGCTGCCAACTCATAAACTTGCTCTTTACTGCACTTTTACTTTCAATCCCCACGGGCACTCTTGACAGTCTTTCATATATTTATGGCCAAGAGAAAAAAAAAAATGAACACCACTTTAGGGAAACCCAGGCTTCCCTTTGAAAAGGAGATACTATTTCCTGTTAGTGGCTAAAAAACTCCCATTGAGTCTAAAAAATTAGAATTTAAATGTAGACTAGAAATAAGGCTGAGGTATAATGAGGGTGTGTCTGTGTGTGTGTGTGTGCGCATGTGTGTGTGTATACCTGTAAGAGAGAGAGGGAGAGAATAGATATTCAGAATCAGAACTAGTTGATAGGGATCTGGGGATTAATGGGAAAAGTTTTGGCAGGAGCCTGCGGGACGGCGGCGGTGGCGCGGAGGGCAGCCAGGACAGCGTTGCGTGGTGTTTTGGGGTATGCACGTGGTACTCACGCAGTGGCTTCTGTTCACCGACAGATGAGGACAGATGCACCGAGGAGGGGACACAGGTTCAAGCCCTGGTCCGGGAAGATGCCACATGCCGCAGAGCAACAAAGCCTGTGTGCCACGGCTGCTGGGCTTGTGCGCTAGAGCCCGAGAGCCACAACTACTGAGCCCGCACGCCTAGAGCCCATGCTCCGCAACAAGGGAAGCCACTGCAATAAGAAGCCCGCGCACCGCAACGAAGAGTAGCCCCCGCTCGCCGCAACTAGAGAAAGCCTGCGCACAGCAATGAAGACCCAACGCAGCCAAAAATAAATAAAATAGACAAATTTGTTTAAAAAAACTATTAAGAAAAAAATTGTTAAGGACCTCAAGAACTTTTGTTTACTGTATTAGAAATTAAAACTGAGGCAGTTTTAAAAATTAAAAAAAAAAGAACTAGTTGATATATTGTAAAGGGTGACCAGTTGTTTTTTCATCTCTAATGAGTTCAGAGAACAAATTCAAATTTCATGAGCGGAGTCTTAAAGATGTACTTTTGGCAGTACAGTGTCTTAGGTTAGTAAACAAGATTGCAGAATCCTTTTAACTATGACATAAAATATATATATGCATGTGTATATACACGAACACACAAATACGCACTCCCCACACACCCTCATCCTTTGGGTTGTGCTGTCTGGTCCAGCCTGGAACTTGGAGAATCATAAGGAGACTTTATGAGTACTTTTATGAGTTTTTTAAAGAGATTCTACAATTTTAGAAAAAATTCCCATGGTCAGACTTTCAGACTTTTTGGGACTAAATTGAAGGATGATGACTAGGGGCTTTCCAAACGCCTAAACAGGCTTCCAAGATTGCCCCAGGAGAAAAGAATGCCTTAGGCTTTGCTTGTTTTTTGTCTGTTTCTCTCAGGCCAGATGGAATAGCATCCTTCCTTCCCTTCTTTAGGGCAAAGGGAAGACATGGCTGGTGCCCAGGTACACTCTCTTCTCCCTAGGAAATACAGGGAGATACAGACTCTTTGGGTTGTGAGATTGTTTTGGTGAATATCTTGAGAGAGCAGCGAGTCTTAGGTGGAATGGCAGTGGTGAGGGCTGAAGGCAGGTGCAGGAGAGCCGGCAGCCTGAACATTGCCAAGCTGTTGGAACTTCGATACCTCTGGGGCTTTAGGAAGGTGATGGGTTTCATTAGCTACAATAAGGCCACTTCCAAGCTGTTTGATTCTGTGAGTACACACCCATGCATGCACACAGTTCCTGTCCTAAGAACAAGAGAACAAATAATCATGGTAGGCTTCCTCTGCAGCATGTGAAGACTGTTGTGAGCACTGTTAGAATCTCCATTGCTTCTGCAGACCCGCCCAGTCTCCTGAATGACCTCGGTAGGTCATTTTACTCCGCCTTCTGCCTCTAGGCTAACTGGCAGCAGGATGGCCCTTCTTGGCAGCAATCTGAGTTTCTATCGAGATGAGCAGATGTCCTGTTGGGGAACATCCCAGGGGAGGGGTGAGCTGCGGAGGAGGAGACACGACCAGAGGGAGGGCAGGACCCTGGCACAGCAGCCCTGTGTACGGACCTTTGGGCCGCATGATCCACCCTGTTTAGCTGTGCTTCTCCAGCTTTGAGCGCTGGGGACCCTTCAGCCCTCAGAAACGACTTCTCCCATGTGGAAATGACATTATCTTCACCAGCTGGACTTCAAAGAGACAGAGCAGCCAGCATCCTGGGAAGCTAATCGGATTTATTTGGTTCTATCTTTCCTCTGGGACAGGGCGTAAAGAAGATATGTGTATCTACATCTCACAAGGCCTGGTTTAGCCATGGAGGGAGATGAGCTTCTAAAGCTGAAAGCCATACATACTCCTGCGCACACCCACTTGCAAACACCATGTCACAGCTTGATCCGGTCCAGGGAGGCCCAGATTTCTGGGACCCCATCAGAGATCTGCTGTGCTCTGAGTGGGGGAAAGGTTTGGCTCGTTACCTTAAAAGAGCTCAAGAGACGGTTCAATTGAAATTCAGCTTCCTCATCTATCAAATGGGGCCTGTGATACCTGACAACCCTAGACTGCAGGCAAGAGGGACATGAAGGTCTGTTGTAAGTGGTGATAAACTGGGTTAACCACGTTAACACTACTACTGCATACTTCTCGCATGTGTACGTGAACACAGGGTCGGAGGACTTCAACATCCTTAGAACCAGCTTGGGAACATTGAATCATGACTTCTGCATTTATGTGAGGATCATAGGAAAATGGTTTAAACTTATCAACTTATTTATCTATAATAGAATCCTCTTCATAGAGTAGTTAAAATTAAATGAGATAAAAATGTGCATGTATAATGTTGTATATATAATAAGCACTCAAAAAATGTTAACTACTAATACTTTTATTTTGAATTGCATTCACTCTAGCACAGTGGTTCTTGGTTATCGGGACTAAGTGTGGGATTGGTCCATCAGCCCTCTGGAAAGAAGTAGGCAGATTCATCTCATGTCCTGGTTGCCTTTGTATCTGGAAGTAGCACTACTGACCTGTATTCCATGGGCAATTTCTGCATCTGTGGGGATGGATTTGTGAGGGTCCCTCATGACCAACGGTGCAGGGCTAGGTTGAGGTTAGACCCACAAGTGTGGCTGCGACCGTGGAAATAGACAAGCGGACCAGTTCTGATTTTCTGGAGAAAGCATCCTGTACTCTGCCTTTTTGGATGCCTGAGTTCTCTGTAGCCTTGGGCAAAACCCCCAATTTTTAGCATCTTGGTTACTACATCTGTCAAATATGAATTATGTGAAACTGAAGGTCTGTTGTGAGAATCAACTGAGATGCCATATGTCAGTGGTTCTCAATCTTCAGCCTAATCTGGGATGAGGCCCAAGAATTTGAATTTCTAACAAGTTCCCAAGCGATGCTGATGCCACTGGTCCCCCCATCCCCCACCCTCCTGTCACACGTGAGAGAAATGCAAATGTGTGATACATTAATGTTACTATACACATCAATGGAGCTAATCAGTTATACATTGCTTCTAGGAAGAAGACAGATGTAAAATTTTGATTCGAAGTTGGGGGGCCCTTACTGGAAGTGGAAAAGAGATATTCTAGGAGCCCCAAAGAGGCACCTAAGGGATTTCCAGTCCCCAGAAGAACCTGAGGACATAGGCAGGACTCTTAACTGAGTAAGGGGAACCTCACTCGAGCCGGCCATGTGCACCTTTGCTGTTCCCCACATTTTCAGGAACGGGGTTCCCCCCCAAAGCAGAGCTTTGGACAGGACAGAGTGGGGTTTGGGAGCTGTTTGCTGAGAAAGGACACGGGAGTGGCTGTGGCCCTGGCAACCTCCTCGGAAGTTGCGCCCTATTTCCTTTCCTGAGTAAACTCAGGAGCCCCAGAGCACCCTCGCCCACACCCAGTCTCTGGGGCCCTGCTGGCTAGTGCACGTCAGCAGGGCGAGGGGGAGGTGACGGAGACAAAGGCATCTCTCTCACCTCAAGGAACAGACATTAAGGGAGGAAATGAAAAAGGAGATGGGAAGCCTCTGGTTTTCCCCGCAGGGCTCTTTCAGTATTAATTTAATCCTGACTTGGGATGGCCACAGCTTCTCCCAGGCCCAGTCCTCTGGAATTCTTGAGTCACCCGTGGCTGAGAGGCAGCTGTGTTCCAGCGACTTCTAAAGGGTGAGAGGGAGGTGGCATGATTTCAATTAGCCTCTGGGCCTCAGCCCTTCGGCCTCCACACGGGGCAGAGTTACTGGTCTCGCTCGGGCTGACACCTCTCCTGCCCTCACTCCAGCTGCCCGTTGGGCCCTGTCAGGCTTGGTTTCGGGTTTCTCTTTGCCCAGGGGAGCCCGGCAGCCAGATGGAAGTGAAGCAGCTGCTCCTCCTAGTCTGGACCTGCGCGTCACCCTCCCCCTCTGCACTCTGTGGTCCTCCTCGATTTATTTTATTAACAAACTTCGGAGGTTAGAAGTGGCCACTGTGAAGGTCAGTTTCTGAGACTGTTTACCATGACCGTTCACTGCCCACCCTTCATCTCTGCACAGCCCTGCCCTGGCCTCCTTGCCTCCCTAGGCCGATCTTCTATTGACACCCAAGCTGGGGGTCCTCTCCCACCATACCCTCGGCTCATGCATGGGTCCTTTCCTCTGGGTAAGAAGATTGGCCTGAAAGCAGTCTCATCCTCTTGCAGGATCCCAGGGCTGGGGTTAATTTCCGGTGTCCACTAAGACCAGGCTGGCACTTCCTGGTCAGCTACATCAAAGCATACAGACTGGCCAGAGGAAAAGCCTTCCTTGAAAGGTTTTCAGGGCACTAGGTAACTGGTTCCATCCTGCTGAGGCATCTGTGGTTGGGTCTGCCTTAAATACCGCCTGTGGGCACCATCTGTGTGTCTCTCATTCAAGACAGGCAAACTCCATTTTTTCTGGCTGAATGTAACACATATTGTTTCAGGAGCTCAAAAGAATTCATGGTCACGTGTGTGTGTGTGTGTGCATGTGCGTGTGTGTGTGTCTGGGAAACCTTTCAAGGTCTACTTTCTTTTTAAATTAAAAATTTTTTAAAATGTAGCTTTACTGAGGTATGATTGACAAATAAAATTATAAGGTATTTAAATTGTACATCATGCTGACATGTATATCAAGGCTTACTTTCTCGTGTTTATGCATGGAAGCAACCAGTACTTCTACCCAGATTAGGAGACAGAAAAGACTCTATTTCTTGAAATCTTAGACAAGTAGCTCCAAGGAACACTTCCTATTAATGGCATTTGGGTAAAGTGGTCATTGGTTCCTCTGTGCTTTCATGCATGCATGCTACAGACTTTCACTGAAAAAGGCACTGAGGATTTAAAGATAATATGTAATCCTTGCCTTTAAGGAGCCTGTAGCCTAGTGCAAGAAGGAGACATATAAAGGCCGTAGCAGTATTTGCAAACGCTACACTGTCACTTATTTACATTTGCGGATTTTCTAAAAGGTGGAACGAGAGGTGAATGTATATTTATACATACGTGCATTTGTGGGAATACATAAGGTCTCTATCATTGTTCAAACTCACCTACTGGTCACTCTGGGGCATGAAAAACATTAGACACTGACCCAGCAGGCTCCGTTGTCCTAAGGCCTGCTATGAATTTGTAAGAAAGTCAACCTCAAGGAAATATCACTGGGTGCGATATTCATTGGAAAGAGAAGAAATCTGATATTGCACTGTGTTGATGACAAAAGTGGGTCTGGCCTTAGGGATGGCACTTTGACTACACAAGAAAATGGGACTTTTAGCAAGGCCTGGTTCTTTTCACCAGCTGACTGCCTCTCTCTTCTGTAAGGCCACCCACACAGTCATACACCAGAGTCAAAGAATCACTGAATTTTAGACGAGGAAGGGAGGTTGGCATGAAAGAGTGGCTAAGAGTGAATGCTCTATTGAACTAGACGATGTCTGCAGCCAAGCAAAGGGCTTAGACTCAGAGAACAAACGCCATTCACTACACTCTTCTAGACCATGGGGCCTGTTCGGTTGGATATATTTCCTCTAAACTTTCAGTCTCAACCCTCAGGTCCCCTCAAGGTTTTGAATGCACACAGTCTTAGGAGTCTAGCAAATATGGTACACTTCTCCTTCTCTGGGGTATTTGCTGCCACTTTTTTTAGCTCTATAATACCAGGGCTTTCTAACATCTCTGGGAGGAAGACCAACATGGACCAGGGCAAGGAGATGGCCACGCAGTTGGACGGACCATCTGAAAAAGGAGGACCACTCAGATTCACTGGGGCTGCTGTTGCGCCAGGGTGAGCTATGCTTACCTCTGAAATGTTGATCCGGCCCTCCTGGAAGGAGCAGGTGGTGGGGTCATGAGTGCAGAGGTTTCGGTATTTGCACCAATGGCAGCGGAAGGCGCTGTTGACACAAGACAGGCACCTGCAAGGATAGAGACAGTAAGAGGCAAAGAGAAGGCAGCAGAACGGGAAGGTAAGGGTGCCTGGTAGCCCATGCGTCATGATGGAAGTCTGTTATCCTAGTCTCACTCTCGGAGGGGTAGGTTGGTGGGGCATCCCCAGCCCTGAGAATGGTGGCTTATCCCTCTAAGATGTTCACGGGACCAGAAAATTGAGAGAAAAATGTGTTCCGAGCGGGAATCATGTAACTTAGAAACCGGTGGTGTGCTAGAGCTGGTCTGTATCAGCTCATGACAGCCAATTATTCATATTTTCAGGAATTTTACAAGCGGTTGGCATCATGATAGCAGCTGGAAATTAGCCATGGAGGGAGTATTTATGCCATAGAAATTGGAAAATGCCATATAATACGTTTTCCCCCTGATTTCTGGTGGTTAAACATTTGGCAGCATACCACCCCTTATAAGACAGAATCGCCGGGGTGGGATGAATTGGGAGATTGGGGTTGACATATATACACTAATATGTATAAAATAGATAACTAACAAGAACGTGCTGTATAAAAATAAATTAAAAATAAATAAATAAAGACAGAATCGCCCAAAGAGCGCAGGGATAGCAATTGGGCAGATCTGGTTGCAGTTTTGCTTCTGCCACTGCCACTGAGGTCACCCTGAGTAAGCACTTTACCTTCTGACTCGGAATTTCTTCATCTGTCTGTACTAAGACTTTCCCGTCCACTCCATGGGGTGTTTCGTGTCAAATGAGATAATGTATAGGACGTGATTTGGAAAAGTATTAACAATGCTAAATGTATTATTTTTAAGTGCTTAAATCACCTGTTATTTCAAGCTCTTAAATCACATTGGAGTGTTAATGATTGGTTCACACCACCTGTGTTTCTGAGTTTTGGGGGAGTAAACGGTATTAAATGATACCTTTATCCCACTCTCCAGGTAGCCAGGCATAGATAGCAACAGGCTATGTGTGTGGCTTCTGCCTTTCTCCCCAGGGTGAGTGAGCACTTCTTTCTCTCTGGTTTCCCCTGGAGGCTGTGTGTATTATCTAGGTTCTCTGTGTGTGATCAGACCACTGTCAGGCAAACGGGTTTTGCAGGTAGGGTTGTTCTTCCTGCTTCTTGCCAGATCCTCTAGTCTAGCCTCTCACAACTAGACCAACCTGGAAGGGACACGGCCAGGTCTGCAATCTGGCGCCACCTGGTGGGAGCTCTGATGACATTTGGGCGGATGGGGCTTGATCCAGGGGCCACTGGCTAATACTCCACAGTGGATTGGGTGCGTTAGCCCATCTACACTTCTTCTCCATGCCAAATATTTTTATCCCTTTCTAGATATGCCCCTAGTTATTTTGTTCCTGAACCTAGCCCAGATGGATTGCTTCTGCTAACATCTTATGATTCAGCAAGTAAATCATGAAAATGGACCAAGGATGATGAGATCAGGGTTTTAGAACAGGTTCTTCCATTGGCTAATTTTGTGACCTTCGTTGCAGCACTTAATACCCTATGGGCCTCAGTGTACCATAGTAAAAGGAAAGAATTGAACTTGACTCTGTGATTTTTAACTGTGAATGCCAGGAGTAAAGAAGGGTAAGATAGTGTTTTGCAATAAAATGGAATCTTTAGTGTCAAGGATACCTGTTTTGTTTTTCTGCTAACACTTGTTGCCTGTGACAGCATCTCCATTGCCATGGCAATATGGTTGAAAGTGGTGACATCACACTGAGTTGCCATGGAGATGTGGATGCTCTCACAAACAATGTATTCCTTCACTGCTGTGTTGTGGGAAGTTCGCTTTCCAAGATGCTTGCATTTCCCAACAAAATGGGATTGGAATGCAGTGGGTAAGGGGCAATTTTGTTCATTTCAGCTTCAGCCACATACTGCCCTGCCTTGCTTCCTCCCAGGCCATTTTTACCACTTGTTCTGTCTTTCTCAGCACATCTATTGATTTGGCCAAATGGGGCTCAGGTACGTCTCTTTCCTTAGCTACTGTGGAGACCCTAGAACTCTAGAAGATGATTCTAATCATGAAAAATCAAGACCAGAAAAGAGGAGACTAAGGAGGCTCATTTGCCTATTTTGATGGCTAAAATCCTTTAGGGTTTAGCTGCAAACAGACCCTCTCCCCACATGGACTGCTGGGCCCATCGTGCCCACAGCCTAGACCCTCAGACTTGATACTGCTGGAGTTCTCAGGTTTTTCCTGCCCTGGGCAATGGGAAGGATGGGTCCATAGAATATTCTCAGGTACTGCTCCTTCTGGCGTGGAGCCGTTGCTTGATCTCTCTCCTTGTTAATTGACCAGGGTCACATGGCCCTTATGTGGCCCTATTATAGAGACGTGTTTCCCTCTTTCTAAATCTAAATCTAAATGGTGCATGAGTTTCCAGATGGTATGGAAGGAGTCTCAGTTTCACTTCGAGAGAGGAACCAGCAGAAACTAAGTATGGGTCTCTCTCCCCTCCACTCCTGGTCCTGCTTTTTACTTATGAAATGCTCCCAGCTTCCTGCGCAGCTGCTGGATCTCACAGCCAAGGGCACTCAATTGGTAGGCATTCTGCTGCTGGAGATGGCTGGTGAGGTTAGCTGGGCTGCACTTAAGCCCCTCTGAGGGCTGGTGGTTGGGTCTGGTTTTCCCCTCCTCCTCGAAAAGTTGAAGGCTCAGTTTGGACCACGGTATAGTTTAAAGCTTCCTCTCCCTCTCCCAGCCTGAGTCCTTTATTTGAGTGCTGGGTGAGGCTATTTCCCCATCTCTGAGTCCCTTCTTCATGTGGTCATGGATGATGTGTCCAAGCTCCACTGGTTGTCAGTCTCCATGTTCAAATCCACCACCAATTGGTATAAAATGGAGACCTTTTCTTCTGGGTCCTGAGCCACGACCTTTGTTTTTACTTCAAACCCTCTTTTAACTCTTAGTTTGAGAGTTGAGGGTAGGGTGTGTTGCAAGGGAGACCGAATGAGATCAGAGGCTGTGGAGAGTGAAGCCATTCGGTTTAATACAACCGAATAAATGGAATATAACTGAAAAGTAACCGTTATGGAGAGCTTACTCTCTTCCAGACAATGTGCCAGGTCCAACTGGGAGACTGTGAGGTGAATACAATATGATTCTTCTTCTAAGGGAACTTAGAAAAACCCCACACTCATATCCAGACCCAGGGCAAGACTCCTTCTGGCCTGGCCCTGCCGTTACCTGCTTGCTCACTAATTTCTCCCGACCTCATCTCTATAGAAGGACGTTGGTCTGCGTGATCCTCTGGCTTTGATACTGAACAATTACTAGTGCTGCGAGGGGCGTGCTTACAGTTGGTGGGTGCTGCAGTTGTAGAACTTGAACTCGGTGCCGACGAATATCTTTCCTGTCTCCTTGGATCTCAGCTGCAGCTCTAGCCCAAACCAGTCTGGAAAAAGGAAAAAAAAAGGAGAGGGTTACAAATCTGGGGCACAGTGGAGAGACTGAGGGTAAATCATTCAGCTACTCCAGGGCTCCTCTGGGGCACCGATGGTAGATGGAACGTCCTTGAATCTTCTTCCAAGAGACTCCCGTTCATCCTGCTGATGACCAGCCCATCACTGAGACCCAGACGCCCCCAGCCCCTCTCTTAGGGAGGAGGTAATGGATCAGATCCCACAGAGTCCCCTGTTTGGTCAAATATGTACAGTTACTGTCAGAAATATCAGGTCACCGATACAGAATAAGAATTAAAAAAAGAGAAATATCAGAACAAAATTGGGTCATTTGTAGAGATGTGGATGGATCTAGAGACTGTCATACAGAGTGAAGTAAGTCAGAAAGAGAAAAACAAATATCGTGTATTAACGCATATATGTGGAACCTAGAAAAACAGTACAGATGAACCGGTTTGCAGGGCAGAAATTGAGACACAGATGTAGAGAACAAACGTATGGACACCAAGCGGGGGGAAAGTGGCAGGGGTGGTGGTGGTGGTGTGCTGAATTGGAAGATTGGGATTGACATGCATATACTGATGTGTATAAAATTGATGACTAATAAGAACCTGCTGTATAAAAAAATAAATAAAATTCAAAAATTCAAAAAAAAAAAAGAAATATCAGGTCAAAAGCTCTGAAAGCCCCCAGTTCTATGGAGAGAACCCACTGAAAACCACTGGCTGAAACCACTGACATTCCTCGAAGGGAAGGGAAGTCTGGAAAAAATCTTTATGCACTGTGCAGGCTTAACCCAAATGGGAGCAAGGGATTTCCCTCTTCCTGAATTTTGCTTTGGGGCATGACAGTTTGCTTTCAGACTCAAACAAGTTTATAAGCCCTATTGGTATCTGGCATAAGAAGACCTAGTCAGGCAACTGTCAGTCAGTCTGTGCTGGTACTTGCCACCCTGTTCCCTGGGTCCTCTTCTCTTGGCCACCCTGGTAGGGCAGCCCCTAGCATATGACTCTCATGGCAGACACTTCTTACCTTGATCCAGAGGGATGACAGGGACAACCTTGGGCCCTGGTGAGATACAGATGACCTGGCTCCCAGATACCTGTCCCTCTACCTCTGTCAGGTTCCCAAAGGCACAGGAGATGCCCGCAGACAGATCAGGAGCATCACTCACGACCAGGCTGAGCTGTGGGAGGAGCAGAGGGATAATGCTGTAGGAAGAGCCCTTGGGGCTCAGGAGACCTGGGCTCCAGGCCCGGTCCCGCCATTGCCCACTTGCTCACTCATCTCCACTGACCCCATCGATAAAGAGGATGTTGTTTCCAGGTGATCTTCTAGCTTTGACACTGAACAATTACAGTAGCACTGCAAGGGGTGTGCAGGGCCAATGGTCTTTATTATTAATACCGTTAATTTTTCAGTCTTGTCCAGCAGCAGAAAGCACTGGGGGGAGGAGAAGGGAGGGATGCTAGGGGGAAAGGTCCCAAAACCCATCTCAGACCCAGCTCATTTTGACATGAAATCATGCAAACTTGAAAGCAAGTCATGAGCTGAGCCCTTCACAAATAAGCCTTAGCCCTGGATCATGGGAGAACACGTATCACCAGTCTGCAGGTTTATAAGGAGTTTACCGGGTTGGCGAAAGACAGCTGGCGCCTCAGCCTGGCTGTCATTTAGGGTCTGCTTGCCAAGGTGGTGGGTTTCCTAGAGTTTCTATTCTCTGTTCCTCTCTGGCTCTCTGCCCCCTGACAGTTCCCCTAGAGTAGGGCAGTCGCCTCACAAGGAGTTTAGGGGATCAGAGGAAGGCAGGAAGTGAACACTAATGGCTCAGATGATGCCTGCTGTTTCTTAGGGACCCAGTGATCTAGGTCAGTGGTTTGCAGGCCTTTCAAGTTTGAACACTCTCCTCTGAATGGTAAAAATATCACAGAGTGTCAGAAGAATCTGTTGATTGAGAAATCATTTAATGGTAAAACGCTGTTCTGAATTCAGTGTACTTGGAAATGGGGTTGTACTAAGTGACCACAATATAGTATCTAAGTGGTATTTGAAACAACAGGTGAGAAATGTGACTCCCAGTGGGGAGTGCCCATGAGGGTCCATGGTGACAACACCCTGCAGCCTGCAAGTGGCGAGTCCTGACGGAGGGAGGTCTCCCTTTGTCATCCCACCTGGCAGGGATTTCTTAGTCACAATGGCTATCACCTAGCCTTTCTATACATTTGTTTGCTGCTGAATCTCTGCCCCAGTTTCGTTTCCATGGGGCTGAGAGACTTAGGTACAAACTCTGCTGTTTGTTCCCTCAGCTCCATGGGAGCCAAAACCTCCCGGTGGGGATGAATGAACGCAAGTCTTGGAAGGTTCATTAACTAATTAACATTTGTGAATGCTCAAATAACCTCCAGAATGAAATAATCCTGCAGGGCCTGAGGACACGAAGTATTTGGGGTTGCAACTCGACAGGTGGTTAAGGACCATTGTATCCTCTTTAATATTCTAAGCACATACTGCGAATTAAGTCTCGGTCTCTCTGTGTCTGCCTGTCTGTCTGTGTCTCTCTCATATACAAGCACAAAGGCAACTCCAGGTTTCTGTGAGACACTGTATCAAGTGGACGATTGAAATACACCATATACCAAAGAATGGCATTGGATTGCATTATGCTGTAGCTGTTTGTTACTAAATGCAAAATCTAGATTTACAAAACAGATCAATAGGTAATGAATCTGCAAGGGGCATGGCGAATGACTAGGCCCTTTACAATAAGAGTTACCATAGTTTTCCTACAAAGATCAAGTTTCCTCGGAGCATTTAAAGTGTGAGCCATTTACATTGCGCAAGTGTTAAAGGAACACACCCACACTCGTGCGGGTCCCACACCCCACGCCTCCACCCTTCCGGATGAGTTTACTCACCAGCCGGCTGTGCTCAGACACTGAGATGCTGCTGGGATGCACCTCGAGGTTCATGCACTGGCTGATGCTGGCAGCAAATCGATTAGGTTCCCAGGCCCGCTGACACTTGTCCCTGCGGGAGCACCTGCCACAGACACAGATCCACAAGCGGTCAGGCCTCTGAGACCCATCTGTTGGAGGCTCCAGGGTCCCCTGAAGGTAAGTGAGAAGGCTTTGCTGCTCTGAGGCCTGTGTCCGTCTTCTCATGACAACATTCACTTATCCCAGAGGGCCTGGTGACTCCCAGATGGTCTCTATTGCAGTTAAAGTCAGACTAAGAGAAGTGGGATCGACCGCCAACACAAGAGATGTGGTTTAGACATAAAGAATAGCTCTAGAGGGACGGCACCTTTACGGGAAACTCGGTGAGTGAGGGAGGGAAGGTTGGGGACGTGAGAAGTAGCAAGCAAGAGGCTAAAAATGTGAACTCTGGAGCCATGATGCCCGGGCTCTAACCCCAGATCTACAGCCTACTAGCTGTGGCCCCTCGGACAAGTTCCTTAATCTCCCCTCGCCTCAGTCCCCTCAACTGTAGAATGCCGAGGCCCATGATAATACACTACCTCATAGGCTTGCTGTAAGCATTAAACGAGCTAGTGTTTAGAAAGTGGCCTGTTCTTAGCCCTTCTAAGAACAATGTTAATGATGATGATTCTGAATATTATTATTCTCCTCCAGGGATATTGAAAAACCTGGACAGGGTCTTAGCTGTGTGGGACAGCATGCAAGTGATCTTGTGGCTGGATTCATAGCTCTTTGAAGGCAGGGACCATGTTTTATGCATTGAGCTATTCTACCTGTCCATGGTATATTTTCAATAAATGTTTGCGGTGGGAAAGAGAGAGACAGACAGGGAGTCGCAGGCAGGGTTGCCCCTGTCAGAAGGCCCGTGTGGCCGCTTCTCCTCACATCTTCATCTCTGGTTCTTGGCTTCTCTGCCTAGAGCAGCAGGTGGGCACTGTGACGCCTGCACACAGGGGCGTCTGGTGGCCACTTAAGTCACATGGGAACATGCTCCAGGTCTGGTGTTTCTCCAACCAAAGAGCCAGTGGGGACACTACAAGATTCCACAGCCAGGCTGAGATTCCCACCTGAGCTCCCCCCAAAGTCCCTCCCCCCTCTTCCTTTCCAGGCACATAATGGACCTAAATATGAATGCTGTCAAAGAAAAGAATTATTGAGGTTTAAGTGAATCCTTAAGATAGCTCTAAAGTGAGCTCTTGACTGGAGCCTTTATCTCATTGACTCACTGAAATGGCTCTTTTTTTATCATACTATATATGGCAACAGCCCTAACAGAGATAAATAGCCTCTGAGACAATAACGCACTTGCAAGAGCAAGGCATACAGAAGACACAGGAAGGTTTCAAATCCCCCCCGGACCCAGAGGCTCCTGAGCAATTTCTCTCAGGCCTCTGCCTCCATTAAAAGCCAGTGTGTGGGCCTGGCAGCTGGGGTCGTCCATCCACTCATTCCTGTTACCCAGGCAGGCGGATGACGACAGGTGGGAGGACACTGCCGGAGGGGCTGGTGAAGATGAGAGGGACCAGAAGAAGAGAAACCTCTGGGTATAACCGGGAGGAAACTTGCTCCCCATGTGCTCTTGGCAAACAGAGCTGCTGGAAGGAGAGGTGTGCCCTGGCAGGTGATGACAGGGAAGGAGCTCAGACAGCAGAGGAAATCTGAGACTATCTTCATGTGGTCCAGTCATTCTAGGAGCCCCAGCTGACCTGGCCCAGGAGGATGACGGGGTGGTCTGGGGCCTCCGGGAGACTTGGACATCGAGGCTAGATTGGCAGGGAGAGCAGGGAGTGGGTAGTATGGCCGGATCTACCCACCACCACACAGTGAGAGGGCAGGTAGCCCAGGACAAGGCCTGAAGCTGGGAGTGGCTGCCAGATTCTGTGGAGAAAGAAATCCCCTTGAGGTGAGAGAGCCTTCTGGCTGTCAGGCCAGCCTCACTGAAGGGAACCCAACTGTAGCCACCTTTGCCATTCTGGGGGCATTGTGGGAGCAGCGTCAGTTTCTTTACCACTGGTCTGACCTAAATGGAGACTCACTGTCCGGGTTCTGGTGACAGCGCTTCTGGCAAGACTTCTGGAGGAGGCCCTTACCTCCAAATCTAAGCAGGGAACTCGGTATCTGTGGGCTCCAATCCAGTCCGGAGTTTGCATCTGTGAGGTGCCCGCTTCCCTCCCTCCCTCCACAGCCCTCCCAACACCTGCTGCAGAGGCTGGAAGCCAAGAGCTATTGTGCAGGACCCTGAACTCTGGCCCTCCGCCTCCGCCTCCACCCTAAACTCTGCACATTTTATGGGGATGCTTTGCCGGCTGGCACGGAGCCAAGGAGTTTCCAACTCCACTGGGGAACAGAATTCCTAGCCAGCTCCTGCCTTTGGAGTTTTCACCCTCTTCTCTCCCTCTGGGGCACTTCGAATCAGGAAGTTTAAGTGCGATTTTGCATTTCTATTGAGCTGGTATTCAATGGCAGGGGGTGTATCTGAATAGGGATGTGAGGCCAGTTGGAGTGAGATGCAGACTTCTTGGAATCCGGAATTAATGAGGCCAGAAGGGTCCTCCCAAGGCTTCTGTGTCCATAACAATTATTTTGACTTGTGTAGCTTATCCTGAGCTTCCTTATTGCCAAAGCATTTATTATTTCATTTAATCCTCTCAGCTCACCTGCGAGGTAGGCATTACCCCTGTTTAGCGATGGGGAAATGGAGGCCCACAGCTGGCAGTGGACCATCCTGGGTCACACAGCAGCTAACTGGAGTCCAAGCTTCCCAACTCTAGTGCAAACTCCAGGAAGGAGGCACCTCGTTCAGGCTACACTGAGGAGCCTCTTGGGAAACCTAGAGATTCTACAACTTCCCTTGTGAGCTCTTCCAACACCACTACCCTTCCCTGTAGAAAAGGTACAGACTTCAGAGCTGGCCGGGGGGGAGGGGGTGGGGGATCAGATTTTGGAGGTGAAATGAAAAACAGAGAGGCAGAGGCACTGCACTTAGAAAGAAGGCCCACCCGTGGCCTCTTTTCCTCTTCCTGTTCTCAGCACTCCAACCACGATGAGAATGACTGCTCAGAAGAGGGAAATTCCTCTCCCCCTACGAACTGATGTCACATCCCTCATCAACACTCCCGGGAAAGTACCTGGTTTTCTGCATTCCAGGCTTTTTTCCAGAATGTGCCAAACTTACATGTTGTGCAGGGCACACCAGCCACAGTGAGGGTCCCCCGAGCTCAGGCACTCCCCACAAGTCGTGTACTGTTCACAGGATTCCACAGGGACCCTGGTGATCTGGCCAAGAGGAAAAAGAGAGCAGGTTAGATCGGGGAGTGACGCCTCGCAGAGGTGCGTTCAGACTCAACTACACCTAACCACACTTGCACTGTCACCACCCCTAAGAGGTGACAGTGGGGGTGTGTGTGAATCGGTGGCCTCAGTGTTCTCATCTGTTTTCCCTGCACGAGGCAGGTACAGCTAAGAGGCCCCAGGCTTCTTGCCTTTGCTGGAGGTGGAAGCAAATCCTCCAGTTTCTCTTTGCCTGCACTAAAGTCCTCCGGAGAGCTGGCCCTGCTCCTGGCAAAGGCTGAAAATGGTTAACTCTGTTGAAAGGCTATTGAGTGCCACCAACTCGTCTCTGAAGAGCTTTCAGCTGGGCTTGGGCTGAGACATCCTGCCTGCACAGAAAACATTTAAAAAGGGAGAGAAGGAGAAACTTTTCCTATCAAATAATATTCATCTAATGGCATGGTCTTTTTACAGCCAACCAAACATACCACCTGGATCCAATTATCCCATTCTCTGATGCCTGCATTCAGTTTCTCTAGTAAATCTCCCATCCTTTGAAAAGTCTGGCTAAATGGGAACAGAGATGAGCTGCCTGTCTTGCTGGGGAAAGTGGGAATGTACAGATGAAGCCCCTGCCCCCCAGAGGATGTGGCCTCCTCCTGGCTTCCAGGTGGGGCCCTGCGGGGACACGGGCCAGGCCTGTTTGGTCATTACTCACCCTTACCTGCTTAGCAGGTGTGACATTAAGGCCAGGCAAAGGGTCAGAAGATTGAAGTCTTGCATTTGGTATGTCCTAGGTATCTGTTACTGGCTGGGGCTGGAGGCTGCTGGGCTGGGAATGGAATCTCATTTGTCAGGGCAGAGAGGTCCCCCACCTACTGGATGTGCAAACCCAAGTGGAAACACAACCTGCGGTCCAGCGGCACAGTGGTCTGCCTCTAGCAGGGGGACAAAGGATCTGACGGAGTTGCCTTCACAGCGTGCTCCTGAGAGGCTCGGGATGGAGTCTAATACTGCTCACCCGGCAACTGTTTATCAGATGTCACTATGAGAGGCTCCGGTGCTGTGTGATAGAGAAACAGCAGCGAACAGGACCCAGATCCTGCCCCCCGGAAGAGCACGCAGCCCAGAAGGAGTTGATAATTACAAACCGAGACCTGCTCTACACTGTGCTCGACATCCATTGCAGGCAATAGGCGTGTGCCCTGGGGGCCTTGGCACCTTAAAGGAGGGCCGTCCAGCACAACCTGTCTGGAGGAAGGGACCAGCCGAGTAAGGGTGAATCAGGGTAACAGTGGGCCCAATGCAGATGCCTGGAAGGGCATTCCTAGCTGAGAGATTATCACGAACAAAAGGAATCATGGGGCTTCCCTGGTGGCGCAGTGGTGGAGAGTCCGCCTGCCGATGCAGGGGACACGTGTTCGTGCCCCGGTCCGGGAAGATCCCACATGCCGCGGAGCGGCTGGGCCCGTGAGCCATGGCCGCTAAGCCTGCGTGTCCGGAGCCTGTGCTCCGCGACGGGAGAGGCCACAACAGTGAGAGGCCCACGTACCGCAAAAAAAAAAAAAAAAAAAAAAAAAAAAAAAATGTAATCATGGCTAAGTTCAGCCTAACTCAAGTGTGGAGTGTATACTGGATGGGCGGCTGAGAGATGAGGCTGGTGGCATGGAACCAGGGGCCAGACAACGAAAGGTCTTGGGTACCAGCCCCAGGAACCTTCCTTCTCTCTGTTGGGTGCCCCCCACACCCGCTCATTCTCCCCACATCATAAACACTTAGCATTCTGAATTACAAAGCTTTTCTCTGAGTGACGTGATCAACTTTAAGCATCCCTAACTTCCCTTTAATAATAAAAATACAAAATGCAGAAAGCATAAATATAAAATCTTGCAATTCAGTGAAAAAATTGATATTCTAAATGGAGGTTGGGGGAGTAGCTGATTTGAAATAGTTCATGCGGAATAGGTCCGAGGGTTGAATTGACTCTATGTCCAATATGACCTGACAGGGTGATGTCATAGCTAAAGGGGCTAATTCGATCATGGGCTGCATTAATGGACATGGTGTCAGGATGGAGATGACCTGAGTTCCCAGTTCAGGTCTTTGCAACCTGCTCTAAGAGGAGGGTTGTTCAACCAGAGAAACTTTCCAGAGGGTGGTCACGATGGGGTGGGACCCAGGTGTGGCATCTGAGGTACAGCTGATAGACCTGTATGTTTATTTAGGTCAAAGAAGTTGAATGTCAGGGTGGCCGTGGAAGCTATCTGCCACTGTTTGAAGGGCGGCAGTGTGGCTGCAATAAGACTCATGGGTGAAAAGTTCCAGGAAAGCTCGACAGAAGAAAGTCAAGGTTGTCCACCAGTGCACAGACCTGGCTTCCAGCAGGGACTCCCTTCCGTGGGACGTGTAAGCAGAGTCAAGGTGACATGTGTCTGGGAGGCTGTGGAAGGTATTTCTGCCCCCAGAGGAAGGCTGCCCTAGTCCTTCTAACTCTGACATAGGGATTCTATTTCCCACAGTTTGCCTAACTCCTTCCTGAGACTGCTCATTTCTGTCCTGAATGACTTGGACAGTTCAAAGATCCAGCCACGCCACTAGCCACTGATAGCACCCCACTTTAAGGAGCAACCATTGACCCCTGACTCACGTCCTGTGATTCCTACCAGAAGCACCTTTCCGGCAGGTGCCTGCCAGACGCTCTCCCAGCATGCCTCTCCCGGGCCTGGGACTCTCGGCCCTTCAGGATATCTGTGACCCTAGCCACCTGGGGGGCTTCCGCCAGCCCCCTCCAACCCGCCCTCGGAGGCCTGAGAGCCGCAGCCCAGTGCCCGGCCTCCCTTTCCTGGGTTTCGGGCTCCGTGTGAGTGATGTCTGCATCTGGCTGGAAATTAAAACAACTGTCTGCATTGCATTCGGCCCGTCTGTCAAAACACAGCCCAGCTCTCAGCAGCTGGGGAAGGGGGCCCTGAATGGGAGCAGTGTCTACAGCAACAAAGCCCACTTTCACGCCAAGTGCCGCAGAGATAGTGAGAAGCCTGTTCTTCTCCAAACGTGAAACCAACAGCACAACTATTTTTCCTGTTTCCTGGGCCCTCCTGGTGGGAATTTTTTTTTAAATACACTGAGTTGAAGAGCAAAGTGAAACAGGAAACTTATAAGGGGGGTGGTTCCTAAAATTTGAATTATTCTCTTCTCAAAGACCTCATAGCCATATGCAAGCCAGAGGAAAGAAATGTCACAGGGACTGGAGGGAGGCCCTCAAAGTCAGGTGTTTCCGTGGGTGCTCTGTCTTTCCTATAATCATGTGTTTCTGTATTCATTCATCAACCCATATTCATAGATCATGTCCTACAGAAAGACCAGGGCTGGGCACCTTAGGGGAATAAAATCAACAGCAACATTAAAACACAGCCATCACCTTCAAGTTGCAAACAGACTAGCAATAAAAACAAGAAAAGTGTTGTGTGTTCTAAGAGAGGTATTGAAAGAGGGCTGAGGCAATTCAGAGCAAAGAAAATACTACTTCTACGCCGTCCAATGTATGGGCCCGTGTGGTCACCAGCATCTGGAATGGGGTTAGTTCGAATTCTAGTCCTTAGAGATGTGCTCTAAGGACACCGGATGTTGATGGCTGAGCACGGAAAACAAGAATGTAAAATAGCACAGTAATAATTTTTTATTGACACATGTTGAAAAGATAAAAATTTAGCAAATATTGAGTTAAATAAGATCTACTATTAATTTCCACTGTCTCTTCTTACTCTTTAAAATATGGCTGCTGGAAAAGTTAAAATTACATGCGTAGCTGTGTGGACGGCACTTTGTCATCATGGGAGAGCACTGCTCTAGATGGGAGTCCCAAGAAGACTTTGTAAGGGATGTGGCCTGGGTCTGGGTCTTCAAGGGTGAATAATATTTATACAGATGAAAAGCGTCCCAGGTGGAAAGAACCACATAAGCAAACACAGGAAAGCAGAGTTTCTTCAGAAAATGTTGCATGAGGGTGAAGAGTGATGGGTATAAATCTGGAAAGGTAGTTTTGGGTTAACTTGGGAAGGATGGAGAAGGCCACAGGGCTGGAATACATGACGTCTGTAAGCTCTCCAGCCTGTCACTCCTTGGCCAAAAGAATGTCCTCCATGAAGAAGTGGCCCGAGCTCTCAAACCAACATCCTTGGCATTACCTGTGAGCTTAAGGGGCATAAAAATCCAGAGTCCACTGGGTTAGAACTTCTGGGATGGGGCGGGGCCTGAGAAATGGTTCCAGCAAGCTCTCCAGGGGATTTTTTTTTTTTTTTAAAGAAGATGTTGGGGGTAGGAGTTTATTAGTTAATTTATTAGTTTATTTTTGCTGTGTTGGGTCTTCGTTTCTGTGCGAGGGCTTTTTCTAGTTGTGGCAAGTGGGGGCCACTCTTCATCGCGGTGCGCGGGCCTCTCACTATCGCGGCCTCTCTTGCTGCGGAGCACAGGCTCCGGACGCGCACAAGCTCAGTAGTTGTGGCTCACGGGCCTAGTTGCTCCGCGGCATGTGGGATCCTCCCAGACCAGGGCTCGAACCCGTGTCCCCTGCATTAGCAGGCAGATTCTCAACCACTGCACCACCGGGGAAGCCCCTCTCCAGGTGATTCTTATGAGAACCACTGGTAAATGTGACCTCATGTCTTGGGAAATCTTTTTAAGTGTCAGGCCCTGGGGCCATGAAGAAATAGAATCAAACTCTGCCTAGGGACTACGAAAGGAACTAGTGGAAGGAATTAGACTGACTCAGGAGGCGGAGAGATGGAGGTTAGCCTGGGGACTGCTTTATAGCCAGGGAGAAATTGGTTCTAATATCTCTGAGTCTCTGGAGGCCCTGAAAGACCAAGTTCAAACTTCTGGGGTCAGGGGCCACTTCACTCTGCAGCAGGCGAAGGCGGGCACTTGCTCTAGGACCTGGTGGGTGGGGGAGGATGGGGAGGGGATGGGCATTGTCCCGGGAAGCTGGAGAAGGCAAGGGAGCTTCTCCT